AATTGAAATTTTCAAAGACAGGTGACTCCGCCAGTTCTGGCTTGCTGTCTAGGAACAATAAAACGTGCTGTGCGCTAGGTAGATATCATCCTAAGCAGGATGTGTATTTGGGTCTCCTCTCCTTCACAACTTGATCTTTACTTTCATGATTCCTTATACTTTGTGGCTATAGCTCGCGATAAACAAGGTAATTTATGTACAAAACGAAAGCTTTGAGGAGGAGCTCAGGCCAGCTCCCAAACTGTTCATTAGCAATTATCCTATGTTGAAACACTGCCCACATGAAGGTTTCTTCACTAGCGAGTAAACTAGGCTGACTCTTGCAGGAGTATAAGACAGCTGTCAGATCTTGATGTCAGTGCCAAGGAGACTCAAGCTAGGAGAGGTTTCGGTGGAATCCCACAAGTTGGAAAAAAAAGAAGATGAACTATACATGATCTTTTAGAAGTGTTTCGAGTAATGCAATAAAGAGTACAAAGTATAAGCTGGGACCTGATCAGCTATTGTGGTAGGAATAATGAAAACATTTGTAGCAATGTAGCATGATAGAGAAAGATCTCAAAGGATAAAGCTATTGGTTTTATTGTGAACTAATTTCTGGTTTTGTTTTTAGCTTCTTGGTTTTTTTGTTTGTTTGTGTGTCTGTTTGGTTTTTGCTACTCACCTTGATGACAGAAATGGAAGTATGGGATAGGCAGGGGGAAGTGCAAATACAAGCTCAGATTTCACAGTTCTTTATTTGACTTGATTTGTTTGACCACCTACTAACGAACTCTGGAATCACCAACCTGAAAAGTACATATTAAGAACTTATAGTTAAGGGTGATGCTATATGAGGTCCATTTAAGATTTATTAGACAAAAACTCCATGCCACCTAGAAATTAGTATTTGGTAACCAAGTGATATCTTGTCACCACTGTGCCCAGAGAGAGAGGCCTGCCCCAATACGAAGCATTATTGGATCACCATGGAGTCACTCAGGAAGCCATCTGTTCATAATAAATGCTAAGTGGGCTAACAACAACTCAATATTCATCTTGGCTATCACTGAACTTTTGCTAGAGATGCCAGAAAGGAAAGGAAATCCTAATCCACTTACATTGTCTCATTTGCCAGAGGAAGTATTTTTTTCTTTTAAAAAATCAATTTATTAATTTCTTTTTCTTTTAAAAATTTCATTAATTTATTATTCCACGATACATTTTCATAGGTTCCGGAATTTCCCTCCCACCTCCTCCTCTAATTTTCCCCATACCATTACAATAGTATAGTCCTTCACAATCAGTCACAAGTCTATCATTCTGCTGTTTAAGTGTACCCTGACATTGTAGGCATGGACAGTGGCAAAGAGTCCAGCATTCTATTATGAAGACACACTCAACCATTTCATTTGGAGTCCATCTTTGATTTGGAACCAGAGATGCACACTGCATTGCATCTTCACAAGGAAAAATAAGAACACATTCAAACATAAGTGAAATATTCTGGTTGTTCAGTTGGAGAATATGCTTCCTGGGGTGACTCTCTTTGTAGAAGAACCTGAAACTGAACTTGAAACTAATTCAAAGCATTATTTGAGTTTACCCAAAAGGTATATAGAACATATGGGACAAGTTATTCTTACAATAGCCCTTGAACAAGCCTAATTCTCACCATTGTCCTCCTGTGACTTACGGGTAGTTGTTTCATGACAATTTCTGGTAGTCTTGACAGGTGTCGGGATGCAGGTTCGTGATCATGAGTGAATATCATCAGGTTCCCAATTTCCTCTTTTGTGTAATGAGCAAATTGGGTTCCACCTCTAAGATTCCTTGCAGTTTTCAAAGTCTGTGCCTCTTCGAGTTGATTGTGCTATAAAACTGATTTTTTTTAATTATTTGTTATTAAAGAGGACGTTAAAAAAACAACCAGTGCAGAACTTTCCTGGAAAATTAGCATTTTTAGGACTAGTTCTCTTTCTAGAAGTGAGGGAACTACAGACAAAATACTGAGGTAGAATGTTATAGTTTTCCTTGCTTCTTGAATTGAATTATTTTCTTTTAACAGCTAGGATGCTGGGTTTTATAAGGGTTTTCATGTAACTTGACTATCATTGTATTATGATTAATACAGTTATGACCAAAATCTGATGAGAAATATTAAATGCTTTCAGTAATGTGTAATAAATTTCTGCCCCCAAGGAGAAGAAAATTTGGAGGAAAATGGTACAGGCCCAGAAAATAATGACACTGGGAAGCACGATTCTTCATCTTTCCAAAGTGAAACAGTGTTCTTTCTACTCAATTACAAAATCATGAAATTCAACATGAATGTTAAAATAATTCTTATATGCTATTTTTTTAAAAACATGTATTTATTTATGTGTTTGAAAGGTAGAGTGAGATAGAGAGAGAGGTGCCTTTCTTCCTCTGGCCACAGTGCTCTGGGCTGGACCAGGAGCTTCTTCAGAGGTACAGGAGCCTCAGGACTTGGAGCATCCTCCACTGCTGTCTCAGGCGCATTAACAAGGAACTAGATCAGAAGTGGGACAGCAGGACTTGAACCTGGGCCCATAGGGGTACTGGTGTTGCAAGCCAGCATCCTGCGCACCTTGTCCATTTCTGCAGGGGGATCCTGCATACACCTTGCAATAGCCTATGTCTAGGGTATCTCTTGGGGCAAATCACACTTCTGCCCTTTTGGAGGATACCTTATGGCTGGCTAAGTGGAGCCTGGCAACCTTGGAGAAAATGATAAAGGAAAATTGGCAGATATGGCAAGATTAGAGATGTAATTTTGCAGGAAACCTGAGACTTGTCCATCCAACCGGGAGATGCTGTCTGAGCTGAGAGAGGGAAATGCAGCTCAAATAATCAGGCCGTTTGGAGACAAGGAAGGGAGAGAACCTTTGCTAGAAACCTGCTCTCTGTCACCTGCTCCTTGAACTTCCTAACCTCCAGATCTCTGCGAAATAAATTGCTGTTTAAGCTACCTAATCTGTGCCATTCTGTTTTAGCAACCCAAACATGATCTCAAACTATATAATTTGGATCAATATTTATAGTTGGTTAGAGCTACTTTTTTTGTTGTGTTACACTGCATGAAAATTTCATTTTGAAAAGATAGATCAGGAGTTAGTCATATTTCACTATGGCATTAAATTAGTGGTAAGAAGAGAAACCTAAACATTTCTACATAAGCCAGACGTTAGCATCATAAAATTAAACCTGTAGTGTAGCCCCAGTTACTTCAGGGATAATGCAGTCTACGACTCCGTCACATTGCCAAGTCATTTAAAAATGTGAATAGAAGCCTGATCAGGAAAATTGGAGGCAATGAACATAATTGAGCTGGGATCCTTGAGCACCCATTCGCAACGCATTTTCTGGGCAAGCATATGTTTGGTTGCTTGAAGCCACTAGGTTTCCTGTCATGTTTCAAAGCAGCACTTCTCATGGCTCTCCAAGAATGCAGTTCCTGGTTTTATATAGAGTAAGTACACAATGAGAAGCTTAAAATTGGTTAATTGCTTCATACAGGGACGGCACAGCAAATACTGAGACATAGCAACAATGTTCATTTCCAGGATAGGAAGCAAAAAAAGTTAGTGTACACTTGCTCTAAGCTTGTTTAAAAAAAAAAAAAAAAACATCAGAAATAGTGAGCATGGGGAAGCAGTGTGAATTGCTGGCAAAATGACCAGGTAACACTTTCCAGCGTCATCCAATTACTACACATTTGTCTCACTGCAGGTTTTTTTTTTTTTTTGCTTTATGCCAGAATAAGATCGGTTTCAGAGAGAATATGAGCCAGCCCCAGGCACTGTGGTAGTACATACACAAAATGATATGCTCTCCAGATTTTAATCTGCTCATCATGGAAGTGCATGCAGCAGATCCATGGACTTCTGTAAGCAATTATGGTGTATGCTGTATTATAGCCAGAAAACAATTACTATTAAGACCAATTTCTTGGACCCCGGCGCTGTGGCCTAGCAGCTAAAGCCCTCGCCTTGAACGTGCTAGGATCCCACATGTATGCCAGTTCTAATCCTGGCAGCCCTGTTTCCCATCCAGCTCCCTGCTTGTGGCCTGGGAAAGCAGTTGAGGATGGCTCAACACCTTGGTACCCTGTACCCACTTGGGAGACTCGGCGGAGGATCTGGGCTCCTGGCTTTTGGATTGACTCAGTACCAGCCATTGTGGTCGCTTGGGGATTGAATCATCAGAGGATATTTCTCTCTGTCTCTCCTCCTCTCTGTATATCTGACTTTCTAATAAAAAAAATTTCTATTTTTTGCTCTTTCATCTTCCCTATCAGCTCAGTATATCCTTGTAAAAACCCATCTCTTTCCTATCTCCAGGGTGTGTGGGACTATGGGCAGGAGTGAATTGTTCTTTGTAATTCACTTTGGTTTTTCTGTTAACCACTCCTGAGGAAGTCATTACGTCATGTCAGTTGCATCTGGCATATTAGAGCATCAGTTACTCCAGGGTCCGTTTGTAGTATCATTAGCCTTTTGGAAAGCTGAGGCCTTCCTTATTCCAAGCCGTGTCCTTGTCATTAAGTATTTTCAGTAAAATTTCTTTTGAAATATATTGCTTATTGGAACAGACTCTTTACTCTTACTACATTTTTAAATCCTAACCAAAGCAAAGAGGAAACTTCAGAAATTTCATGGAAAAGGTGTTACGAAAAAAAAAAAATCCTTAAATTTTGTTGACTTCAAATTTCGTTGCACCAAAATAACCTTGTCTCTTAATCCATTTTTACACACTATTTAAAGCACTCCTCTCACCCCCACTCCCGCCCCATGGGCTTCCTCCAAAGGGGTTTATATGTTGTTCATTTGCCAAGTAGCTGACTTCATTATGGGTTTTTTCCCCCCAGAACACTAGAGCCCCTTCCCAAGAATCCGTACTCACACTTAGGTTGAGGGAATATGCTGCAAAGCTTGACGTTTCCTACTCAATAAAAATCCAGGTTTTTATTTCATAAAATTTTCTTTGTTTGCTTGTAGGAAGAAATCTTTCCTGTTTTCTGCTTTGTACGCCGCCTTTATCTTTGGTGGGAGGCACCTCATGAACAAGCGGGCCAAGTTTGAACTGAGGAAGCCGTTAGTGCTCTGGTCTCTGACCCTTGCAGTCTTCAGGTAGGTTTTTTTACCACCACCCCCCCCCCCAGTTTGTTTTTTTTTTAATAAAATTGCTCTATTTCATCATTTGACTTTGTATCTGATATTTTTGCTGATTGAATTCATTGATGGCCTAAAAGCCGTATCCGGAGAGAAAGTCCTTGTTGCTAACACATTTGCTACTTTCCATTCTGTCTCTTTGGAGTTTTCAAGCTATCTTTTCCGGTCTAATCCGTGCAGTAATCTAAATCACCTGTTAGGATTGGAAGTCATGGATCAGTTTCATTACTTTTGTTGCATAAACATATTTGTAGGGCTTCAGGGAATGTCACAGGAGTGAACTGTTGTCTTTCGTCGAACAGGTGTCCCAAGCATTCTGTTACTAATACTTCATCAAAAGATGCCACTCAGTCACCGACATTATGTCAGCTCCACTAGACCAGAGAGTACTTTTTCTCTGCACCTCCAAACCCATCCTTTATCCCTTTTGCCTGAAGTGACGTGCAGGTCCTCCTAGTTTGCCTCTGGCAGAACTCAACATCCAGCCTGTTAGGACCATGCCTGGTCTCTCCAGGCACAGCTGTCAGCCAACCAGCAGACACATTGCTGAAGCTTGAAGGAGCAATAGTCTTGTAATATTGATGATCTGGTCTTTACAAGACTAATGAATGTGCAGTTGGCGTTCAAAATTTACCAATTGCATGAACAAAAGATACCTATCCTATTTGTGTTTTACTTGTCAAAACCAGCATGGTCGTAACGTTGGTAGAGTAACCTTGGTTGAGGCAGATTTAGAAACACATTACAACTATTTTTTTAAATATTGTAAGTATTCATTTGTAGTTTTTTCTTGTTACATGTTGACTGTTCTACTGTTAAACAGAAATGGTTAATATCATTAAAAAGCTTAGTAGTCATTTTACGCTCCCAAATAGTAATCAAGCAGGAAGAGAATATTTTTTATATATTTAAAGAGGAATCTATTTCTATTCTAAAAGGTCACTCTGTGTTTGCCATTATTTCGGAGCTTGTATTTATTGTTATTGTTATTGTTGCATTGATGACCCAGCATAAAGGAGCATCAGCACTGGATGCCCTTGCTTCCTCTTTCCTCAGCAGTGTCCCTCTGCCCACCAAATGACTCACAAGGATACAGGTGGGAATAATTCTGAGTGAAATGATACCATGATTGATAAGTGCTCTTTGGAAAAAATGGAAACATTGTCTCACTAAAAAGACAAACTAATAATTAGCCTTTTTCATGGACTATTTCAACCTCTGCAGGTGTCTCAGGTTATTTTTTACATTCATTTTTCAAACGGTGTGTCAGTAAAATCTACACGTCTCTGCTTGTGGACTTCTTAGAGTGTCCTCTCTCTTTGTCTGCCTTTTTCTTAAAATCGTCCCCTTGAAGACACCACATCATTTATTCTGTAGAGTTTCTGCACACTAGATTCGGCTTCATTGCATTCTTCTTTACTCTGTAATTCATGGTTTTAAAAAAGTTTCTGTTAAACTTTATGAGAAAAGATATGTCAGGGGCATTGGCTGATGCGTGCCTGGTATGTCTTTGGAGTTGAGAGGATCTAGAAGTTGGACTGTATTGAGGTTTAATAGTTGACAAAACCTTCCGTAAGGTGAGACTTGCCTGCATTAGCTCTTCAGTTATTCTGAAGTGTCAGTAACTAATATGCGAAGGTCTGGATAAATGCTTCATAATTGGTTCATATTTCTCAGCTTCAAAAATTTACCAGCCTAAAAAACTGCATGTCGACACTAAAATTTGTTTTCTTAAGTAACTTGATGAACTCGTGCATTTCGTATGTGTCAGTGATTTTGAGTTAGATTTGATTTTTATGTGTGTTGTAGTCTAGTGCTATTCTTATGCTGATGTCTTAATTGTGGTTTTATATGACCAGATGTTCCAACCCACACATATTGTATGTTTATTCATTGTCCAGAACTAGGGTCAGCCATTTCTCCAAAGAGCCAAAGTTCTTTTGAGCGAAGAGCAATAATGCTTAAACCACTCTGGTACCAGGGATGCTTTATTGGTTTCAATTTGTAAATCTTTTCAGAAATGGAATTTTTTTAAGAAATATATTAGGAGTTGATCAGTGGTACCTCCAACTCAAATGTAGGTCTAGGGAAAGTTTTACTTAACTAGCCTCTTATTTCTCCCACTCATTCCAAAAGTCTGAGTTCCCGGTGTGGGCAAGTAGTGAGTTATTCATTTACTTTACCCACACTGCACATGCAATAGTCATTATCTATACTTTGTCATTTCTAGATTGCAGGTTCTTGTTTGTCTTCCATTTCCTTAATTCTATTATTTTACTTCCTCATGAATCACATTTTGTATACAGTATCAAAAGCCAGAAATATGTAGCGATATCCAAGTGTGCAGAGTTTAGGGTTTTTATGAAAACTGATCATAATGTTCTCAGCAGGAATTTGGAAAACATTGAAAATACAGTTCTAGATTGTAATTAACTTAAAGTGATTCCACACTTAGAAGGCTATACTTAAATAATTGTAAGATGAAAAAGCTAAATTTAGAGTAATAGATATTGTATAATGTTTACATAAATTTTACTCCTAGTAATCATGCATATTGATAATTAATACATAAGGGAATAGTAGAAAAAAATCAACATGATCCTCATTTAAATTTTTAGGGCTTTAGAAAGGCATTAAATGCATACTAATTACTACAAATTAAGATTCAAATTTCAGTGGTGAAGAGCTTGGTTCTAACGGACTGGTAATTTGGAAATACGAAACATTTCTTTTTTTCCTGTTGTATCATCTTCTTATTGAAAACAAATGAAACAAAACCTGATTTCTTGAAGACAGAGGATGTAAAACTTCTTACAGTGTCAGATTTTCTTAATACTAGATTGCTGGAAAGTTTGTTTATTGAGACAGAAAGTAGCCAGGACACAGGGAGAGCTTAGAAGCCAGGTGACGTGAGGAACATGGGTTGTTTCAAAGGTTAATAAACAGTGGAAGCAAAAACACTGGTTCTCAGAAGAAATCCTCTCCCACCCCATTTGCTTAACATCCCCAGTATTGGCATCCCTCATTGATGAAAGTACTCAGCTAGCATTTTTCATAGCGGGAGATAAAAAAATGCCTGGCCTGAAAGAGAATAGATGTGTCATCTTGAGTTGTGTTTCAATCCCTTTCAATCTATAAATAACAGGTTAACCTTCTACCATCTTGTTTATTTTTCCTATTAGTATCAAGTTTGTTACCCTGTGAATCCAGACATGGAGTAAACTAACTATGGAAGGAATGAAACTACATAATGAAGGAAATTCTTTCTCTGCCTGCCCCTTCTTAACCTGATGGCCATCGCGTGTGTCCTTACAAACACATATACTCTGTATAGCCTTTTCCTGCTTCCCAAAGGCAGCTCGACTAAAACACTGTGTCAACTGGGACCTAGCATCAGATAGTCCGGTGCCATCCAGGGCAACTGCAGCCACCTTCAGCGCTTCATCAGTCATGCTAGGAGCGTCAGCCACTGACCATAGCAGAGACTGATGACATAGGCTACTGTGCCGGCATGGTCTCTAACTCTCCAAGTCCAGATTCATAGGATTTTCCTAGTCTCAAATCACAATGATGTGACAGGAATTGAGTCCTTTAACTCCTTTGGAAAATCTAAAACCACAGCAGAGGGACAGCTTGGTGATGATCGCAGTGATTCTTAAATTGTGTCCAGAGTTGGAGTCGGGACTTGGCTCCCTGTTCCACGTTCCTGATACTGCACCCCCTGGAAAGCAGGAGTGATGGGTCAGGGAGTTAGTTCTCTCTTACCTTTGTATGCCTGAACCGAGTTTTTCGCTCACCCTGATCCAACATCAACCGATGGAGACAGCTGGGGAGTGATAGAGCCGATAAGTGCTCCTCTTTTTTGGTTCATTTCTCAGCTTCTCAACTAAGCAAATAAGAAAATCAATCAATCAATCTGGGGCGGAGGGAGGAGTGAAACCAGAAAAAATAAAAGCAAGATATGTCAACCTTCCATTCTTTGAAAGGAAATCATACATCCTAGTCTGCTCTGGGCGGTTGTAGATTTTTGTCCATTTTCCGAGTGTGATTATTAATCATTCCCCAACTTAAATGATAGGTAAAATGACATTCTCATATTATTATTATTATTATTATTATTATTATTACTCTAAAAAGAGGGATGTAACCAGCTAGCACCCCAGTTCTAGCTCCTACTTTTTTTTCATATTTCGTTTATTTTGTCATATTTTGTTTGTTATTTGTTTGAAAGGCAGGCTTACAGAAAGAGATGGGGAGAGACAGAGGTCCTCTATTCTCTGATTTTACTCCTCAAATGGCTACAAAGGCGAGTTGTGCCAGACCCAACCTAAGAACCCAGAGCTTCTTCCAGGTCTCCCACATGAGTGCAGGGGCCCAAGCACTTGGGTCATCATCTGCTGCTTTCTCAAGCATGCCCATATGGGTGGGATGCCAGCATTGCAGGAGGTCACTTCACCACCGCAATGCCAGCCCCTATTGCTGCTTCTTAAACACACTAGCAAGTCTTCCTTCTGGGTTCTAGTGCTTGCTCTGCAGTTGCCTCAACACTCTTCATCCAGCATTTCTGAAGGCTTACCCTTCAGTTCCTTTGGATCTGACCTGAGAGGGTTTGTGTACTTATCATTGGAAAAGCTATCCGGTATTTATTTTTCTATTAAGCAATTTTCTTTTGTAGTTCATGGAAGTGAGGCTTTTCTGTACAGAGAAGCTGAAAACCACAGAAAAGCGCACAAATTTTTAATGCCACAACCCACACTTACTGTTAATGAGTATGGCAAGAATGCCTTCCCAGCAACTTAACCTTAAATTTGGGATACTTTGGACCCAGCACAGTAGCCTAGCAGCTGGAGTCCTCACCTTACAGATGCCAAGATCCCATGTGGGGGCTGGTTCTAATCCTGGCAGCTCCACTTCCCATCCAGCTCCCTGCTTGTGGCTGGGGAAGGCAGCCAAGGACG